GGGATGCAGTTGTCTGCTCCAGTCTTCGCCGAACCCTTTACATGGAGCGTGTATTGGCAATCCACGTGCCCTCTAAAAGGGGCTTAACAGGAGCTTAAAATACGCATTCGAAAATAAACCGAGAAAAATTCTGTACGACGCGTTTTACTATGAAAAATCCTAATTAATATAAATGTGCATTCAACAATATTACGACGCATATACACAATATACCCAATTATATATTAACCATTGTCGCGAATTCGATTTGACTTTTTGAATTGATAATAAAAATGCTGTCTGGAAGATTAAAAATAAATAAAAATTTCGTTAACTTGACTTTATCATACCTTGTAGCTGATAAAATACTCAGTTACACAATGAAGGTTAAATTTAAAAAAAGCCTCTATGTCAAATAATACGTATCTTCAAAGCATTTTCAGTTTGGAAGACCGGCCATTTCAAATATCGCGGTAACTTTTTTCCAAAGCAATTCTTTTTTATTACGTAAACATTAATTTCATTGTTCTGCTAATTTGAATGCATTTTATTATTCCAAATAAACTTAGAGGCAATGTTTTACTGCCGATATTTGTTTCACGTGGCAGTTACAAATCTACAAAAAAAACATTATTTTTATCTACTACATTATATAATAATTTAATGAGAAGTGACTGCACATGTGGCTGTACAGTAAAGGCTATGTTACATGGAGCGACGCATGGAGCGTAGATCGGCAATCCACGCGCCCACCGAAGAGAAGACAGACAACGCACAAGGACGCGTCGGTCCGCTCCAAGCTGCGTCATTCTCAAAGGTCAGGTTACACGGCACGTGGAGTATAGATCGGCATTCCTTGGTTTTACGCACCATTGCTCTACCACTAAGCTATGGGAAGTGACAGCAGTAACAACGACAATACGTACTTAACTATATAATAAATGAGAAAAAAATTGAATATTTAATAAAACCACGAGTAGCAAGGCTTTACATGACGCATGGATTGCCAATCGACGCTCCATGTAACTGGTTTGGTTCGACCTGAAGCGAACAAATGCGTTCTAGCGCGTTCGTTACCTTTATTCCGCGGCGGTACCAGGCACACAGAATTCATTCTCAACGCGCCGGCCAAGGCTATGTCTGCAGACACCTCTCATTAAATTATTATGTAATACAGTAGACAAAAATTTACACGTGTTTTTTTTTTACAAAATCTGAACTATCTTACAAGATAACTGCCACCCGTTAGAAGTAACCGAAACAAATATCGGCAGTACTTAATTAAAAAGAATTATTTTGGAAAAAAATTGCAGTGATATTTCAAATGGCTGATCATACAACTGACGCTGTTGTGGCGTAAAAGCTTTTTTTTTTAATTTAATTTTCACTTAGTAACCGAGTATTTTATCAGCTACAAGATATTATAAAGCCAAGTCTAAAGAAAATTTTTATTTATTTTTAATCTTTGAGACAGCTGCTTATTGTGTTTATTATCAATTCAAAAGGTCAATTCGAATTCGCTACAATGGTTAATACATAATTGGGTATATGCGTTCGAATACTGTTGAAAGCACATTGATATTAATAAGGATTTTTCATAGTAAAACGCGTCGCACAGAATTTTTCTCGGTTTATTTTCAAATGCATATTTTAAGCTCTTCTTAAGCCCCTGTTACTGGGTACGTGGATTGCCAATACACGCTCCATGTAGAGGGTTCGGCGCAGCCTGGAGCCCACAGGTGCGTCCCAGTTGTTTCGTTGACCTCTCTCTACCACAGCAGTTGGTGCGCGGAGTCAGTGTTGCCAATTCGAGGGATTTATCCCGATTCGAGGGTTTTTTGACGTTCTCGAGGGATAAAGGGATTTTTCCTTATTTTCGCGGGATTTTTTGTAATTTGCCATTTTCTGGTTGGTTTTGTATGATTTTGTTGACCTGATATTATATTATGAAGGCGCTCATTTTTCTAATTGTAAACGTAAAATTTTGTCAGCTATAATCGTATAATGCTGTACGACGAAACGGTTGATTACGACGGCAACGTGCGTTCATGCCTACTGGTGCAACCTGCAGGTACCCGCTTAAGTCCCTACAATAAATTGTCTTGAACTCTTTTGAATTGTATATTGTTTTCGTATCATTGTATGGTCTTCAGCAAACATCTTGAGAATGACCAGTCAACAGATCAGAAACAGATGTTAAAACTAATAAAAATAAATGTTTGAGTTGGTGTATTGTTCCGAAATCCGAACATCTAAACATCTAAACCCCCAAGGTCTGTTTGTAT